GGTGGAGGTGTGAGGGCCTAGCTGCAAGTGTCAGAGCAACCCCCTAGTGTTAGTGACTGCTTTCTTCCTTCTCCAACTTACACATTTACACCTAAACCTTACCATATTATCTTACATGTTAAAGCTATATGAAAGGCGTCAGTAAGTATATATTCTTTCATTTCCTTTTTTTACTTTTCTATGTTTGTGGATTTCATTATGTTGATAATTGTGCTTTTGTTCATTTATTTCTACCTCTCCAGCATTGACATACTTTCTTTCATTTGATACCCATTTTCTTTATATTGGACACTAAAGTTACTACTAGATGTTTGCTATTGTAATCAATGCTGTGATAATGATTCTTATAAATATCTCCTGAGGCAAATGTCTCAGTCTTTCCAGGGCATATTTCTAGGAGTATGCATATCTTTCCAACCTCACTAGAGTGTCCCAAATTATCTTCCAAAGTGGCCCCCAAGACTGAGATTCCCACCACCAATGTTGAGCTGTTGGTTGCTTTACATCTTCTCTAGCACTTAGTCTTGTCAAATTCTTCAAAATTTTGATAAACTAGTAGATATATTAGTTTAGATTATATTCTTCTATTAAATCTGATTATCTGGTGATTTGTGGTTAAGGTTAATTTTGGCACTCATTTCTTTCATTTTATTTTATTTTCCTGTTCCACTTTCTCCATTTGTTTCTCCATTGAATCAATTGCAACTGCTGTATCATCACCCTGCTTCCCATGGTTTAGAAGTTAGACATCTTGATCCTCATTCATGTAAAGACATTGCCACAAATCTGAAGGCACAAACCCAAACAAATGTGGTTTGTAATCAAGCCTTTCCTCAGGCCTTTATAATATTTTACTCTGCTCACTCTCCAACAACTTATATATTACTGAGTCTTGTATTTTAGTTCTGTCTTACTGTTTATAGCTCTCAGTATTAGTCTTTCTACTGCTGCCATAACAAAATACCACAAACTTCACACCTACCTTGTAGTTCTGCAGGTCAAAAGTCTGACATGCATTTCTCCAGGCTAAAATCAAGGGGTTGGCAGGGCTGCATTCCTTTCTGGAGTCTGTAGTCTCTGTTTCCTTGATCATTTACCATGTTTTAACTTGGCATTTTTCTGATGACTAGGGATGATGAGCATTTTCTCATGTAAAACACAAAACTTTACGTAACACCACTCTACGCAGCCAAAAACACAGAAAAAGAACATGACCATCCCCTTCCCCACTCCAGCAATGGTTTAGCAGGAGGCTGTTTCCACCCTTGTGATGCTATAAGGTGCTCAACACTCCTGCTGCTCAGTGTCAGATAAGGCCAAGTAGGGAACAGTAGGGAACTGGATCTTTCATTCCTGCTAGCTGGTAATGAGATCCCCACCCCATGATATTAGTGAAGACAATTGGGGAACCAGAACACAAACACCCACATAGAACTAACAAGAAATTCCCTTTCTGTTGTTAATGGAGGTTATAAGAAACCTGGGCTTCTGCCTTCACCTGGCAGCAACAACGTGGTACAAACACTCCTTTCTTATGTTGGAGCAGTAATGTAAAAGTCCAGTCTTATGTTGGAGCAGTAATATGAAAGTCCAGTTTGAGTGAAAAACAATTTTTTTTTTTTTTGCAGTTTTTGGTCAGGTCTGAGCTTGAACCAACCACCTCCAGTATATGGGATCAGCCCTCTACTCCTTTGAGCCACAGGCTCTGCCCCAAACAAAAAATTTTTAAAAGATGTAGAACAGTGGTTCCCAACCTGTGGGTCTCAACCCCTTTGGGGGTCTCCTGCATATCAGATATTTATATTACTATTCATAACAGTAGCAAATTACAGTAATGAAGTAACAACAAAAATAATTTTATGGTTGGGGGTCACCACAACATAAGGAACTGTATTAAAGGGTCGCGGCATTAGGAAGGTTGAGAACTACTGATCTAGAATCTGTAATGTATAATACAAAATTTTCAGGTTTCAGTAGATGTCACTCATCATACCAAGAACCAGGAAGATTTCAAATGGAATAAACAACCAACACTGAGATGGTAGATTAGAATTATCTAACAAATATTTTTAAAAAACTGTATATACACCTCTTGAGTGTGGGACACATTATAAGAGGGATTTTAACAAATGCAATCAGTATAACCTAATTCTTTGTACCCTCAATGAACCCCAAACAATTAAAAAAAAGAAAGAAACTATAATTAAAATGTTTTAATGGTGATGAGCATGCCGTGACACACAAAAAATAAAAAGTGTCAGCAAAGAAATTAAAGATACATAAAAAAGAACCAAGTGAAAATTTTATATCTGAAAAATACAATAATTGCAATAAAAAGCTCTGTGCGTAGGCTTAGCAGCATGATGGAGGGGGCAGAGGAAAGAACCAAATAAATGGATCTAACAGTCATGTCTTTTGATTTCCAGAAGGAGAGGAAAAAGAAGGCAGAGATTAAAAAGAATAAAAAAAAAAGTATTCAAAGAAGTAATAGCTGAAAATTTCTCAAATTTGGCAAGAAACTTAATTTACAAACTCAAGAAGCTCTATAAACTCCAAAAGGCTAAACTTAAAGAAATACATGCCAAGTTGCAGTATATTAATCATTAAAATCTGAAAACTATAGATGAAGAAAAAAATGTTTGAAAGCATCAGAGAAAGTACCTGTAGGGAAAAGGAAATTCAAATGGTGATGAACCAGAAAACATCTAGGCCGGAACAAAGTGATTTAGTTTATCACTGAATCACTCCAATCTCTGTCTCCAGGAAGCATGGTCTTCTTGTTGGAGTCTTCACATGGCCTTCTTATAAGACACTGATCATGGTTTTTATGGCTCACCCCAACTCAGTAAGATCTCATCAACTAATTCATTTGCAAAGAACTTATTTCTAAGTAAGGTTATTTTCTGTTAGTAGATGCGAATTTTGAAAGAGTGCTATACAAGCCAAGTATATGTAACACTGACTGTATCAATGTCAATATTCTGGCTATGATATATTGTACTAAGGTTTTAGGAGATTTTACCATTGGAGAAAACTGAGTGAAGGATATACAGATCTGTCAAATTACAATTTCATAGGAATCTATAATTATCTCAAAATAAAATATCTAATTGTAAAAGTATATATTAACTGTCTTTACGGGTTACACAGTGGGGATGTCTTCAGAATATTTCATTGATATATTGTTGGAAACATAGGTACTAAGTTTATTTCCTCAAATATTATTGTTCCATTGTCTAGAGTTTCAACATACAAAACAAAAATATTTCAGAACTACAGAATGCCCCAGTTTTGTTTTTGTTTTTGTTTTTGTTTTTTGGGTTTTTTTTTGCTTGTTTGTTGGATTTGGTAACCTTAGGAAAGTCTAGACATTATTTTGTGAGCTTGTGAAGCAGGTAGTATTCATTTAATTGAATACCCTTTAAATCACTTGAGAACAATAAATTTTCTCTTATATTCAAGAAAACAATAAGCCTTTTAAAAAATCAAGTATGTATTTGTTTGCACCTTATACTGGATACACTATTTATTAAGTGATAAATTACATAAAAGTAAGGACTGAGCCATTCTAGAATATTCAAATTTAAGCATTTCAGAATATGGGATGGGCAGTAACTACATTATACAATAAAGAACTACAGGAATTATATCCCACAAATATAAACTAAAACCTATAGTTCCACTGGGGCTGTCCTTCAGTCATTGAATCATGTTGATTTCCCAATAAGCCTTAGGCAATTGCAAAGATGTAATTGACTTATAGTTTTTGAGGAATTCAGCTAGTATTTGTGATTTACATCAATCAATTTATATGCTATTTATAAAAATGTCTCCAATGAAAAATCACCAAAGAAATAAAATTATACAAAGATACTTTTCTGTGTTTCTTTGGTTACTGAAAAAAGCTAACATACACCAGGCACACACACAGAAAAAGAAAAACTATAAATAGAGGTCATTTTTCAAGAATTATATTGTCTGGGTGTTGACTTAGTGAGCTTAGCGTTTCTTCAGCAATTCTTCCTTTAGCCTTTATTCATCACAGTTCTCTTTCAGTACCTCAGGGTTCTGTGACTAATGATTCTATTGCATTCCTTCAGAATACACCAAGCTAAATTAAACTCACAAAGATAATGGCCAAGACATAGATGCACAATATTTAACCTGTTTTCTTAATAAAGGCATGTTTTCCTCTTGAACTTTTCAATTTTATATAGGAAATGAATTTCTTTAGACTCTAATGATTCTATTGGATTCCTTCAGAGTACACCAAGCTAAAATTAAACTCACAAAGATAATGGCCAAGACATAGATACACAATATTTAACCTGTTTTCTTAATAAAGGCATGTTTTCCTCTTGAACTTTTCAATTTTATATGGGAAATGAATTTCTTTAGACTCGAATATTCCTTAGAATGTCATGCCCAGTAAACTTCACTCTATAGAAACCATTATTTTCAAAATAATATAATGGCATCAAGGTTTAAGGTGACTTTTAATCAATTAGAAGGAAAAAAAAGGAGACTTTTCAGGTCTTCCTTTCACCAAATCTCTAATTTAAAAGATTCCCCAAGGGAGATAATGTATTCTTTAAAAGTTCTAGAAGGATTGGGTGAGTCACACAGCTGGAGGTAGAGAGCACAGCACCCACGCAAGTTCTCCCTTTATCATGTGCACCTGGTACCTGTTATCACCTGTGGACCAAAAGCAGCGGCAGAGTGCGCCATTCAGTATTATTCATTGCATGGCTTAATTAGCGCTAAAACTGGTAAGCAAACATAGCAACACTTCTCCGGTTTCCTTTGCCTGTGCTGTACTGCTGCTTCTTATAGGCCCACCCCTTCTGTTTTTATTCTCAAGATGTGGCTGAGAAGCACACAGAGAAGCACACTCTCTTAGGGCACATACATTTTTTAAGCATTTCCCTTCTCCATATTGGTGACATAGCATTTTTATTCTTGTTAAATTCTTAAAGATGTTTGTATTTTTCTCCAAACAGCCTCAAAACCAGTGGACTTGAAATTATGCACTGGCCCTGTCCCTAATACTACCCAGCTGTGCCACATCCCTTGTCCAACTGAATGTGAGGTTTCACCTTGGTCAGCCTGGGGACCTTGTACTTACGAAAACTGTAACGACCAGCAAGGCAAAAAAGGTGCGTAATTGTTACATGACGTGCTTGAAATTCCTACAATTGAGTCAAATTGTGAGTTATTTTTGAAATGCTGTTCTGTGTTCCTTGCGATTACTTATTTGTGATATTTTCCAGAATGGATAGTGAGTATTGATTTCAAAGATGAATAATGGGTACCATGTACATTATTTGACTAATAGATACTCCAAAAACCCTGACTTGATTACTATGCAATCTATGCATGTAACAAATGTCACACATGTGCCCTGGAAATTTATACAGATAAAACAATTAAAAGGAAGAACACAAACTACTTGTTAATTTAGATAACATGATAAACATGATAGAGAGCATCTGAGGCAGTTTGTGTAATGGTTAAGATGAGACATGGTATTAGACGGGCCTGGATTGGAAAACCTACTCTGTCCCTTACTGTTTCCCTAAGTCAATTAGATTATCTAAATCTTTGTCCACTAATATGGAAAAGTGACGTAACAATATTTGCCACCCAGATTGTCTCCAAAGTATCAATGAGATAGTAAACAAAAAGCACTGAATTCAATGCCTCACCCATAGCCAGTGCCCAGTAAATAAAACTTATTGCTTCAGAGGAAAAAAATATAAAACCTTGATTACTTCCACAACACAAATGATGCGTTTAAGAGAAGTAGAATAATTGCAGCTGTTTGCTTTATAGTGGGCATGATGGCCTAATGCGCACATGATCTTTCATGTAATTGAAAATAGTTTTCTGTTTTCTTTCAAAGAACAGTCTTCTAGGGATTCTCTTAGGTTATTAAGTATGAAATATCAGATTTCCTTAAGTATTAAGTTTGACAGTTGATATCCCTGACATTTCACTTTGATACCTGTTTTGTTTTGTAAGGTACATCCTCATTCTTTTCCTGTGTTGGGGGCATAATTACAAACCATAATACAAACTTCTGAGTAGGCTCAGCCTCAACAGCCCTTAAGCATGGTGGTGAATAACATCTAATTATTTCTCTAGGAACGTACATATTAGGGACCTTGTCTTCTAAAAATAGGAGTGACTATTGGTGGTTATGGAGACCCAGGGACGGGAAAATAACTTAGTAAATCCAAGTAGAAGTCATCAGTTTTCTAAAAGGAAGTTAATTCCATTCCAACTCACTTAAGATTTTTGAAGAAAGACACTATCAATTGATGAAAGTTTTTTTTTTAACTAAATCATTAATAGTATGTTCATATAGCAATAAATAGACTTATTAATTGTGTTATACATTGCCAGGAAGGGCAACACTTAGGTGCTATTAAAACACAGAGCAGAACTTTGAATACTCCACACTGAAGCCCAGATGGTTTATGTTTCTAATTCAAATTTCTAGAGAGTCTAAAATCAACTGGCGCTCCAAAGACAGTTTGTCTGGAACCATCTAACTTCTCAGAGTTACCTTTTCCAAATTCAGTCATGTGACAGTGCTAAAGAGTTAAAAATAATAACACTTTCATCTGGCCATGAATATTTCTGAATAGTTTGAGGTTTCATTGTTTCTTTGAATATTCTATAAACTATATAAACTTGCCAAATCAACCAAATCTATCTCCATCTCAGTCTCCTCTTCATCCCTGGTCCTACAAGAGAGATGGGAGTTACATGGCAATTCCCGCCTTGTCTTCACTGTTAGAAGCTAGAATCAAAGCCTCTCTTTTTACATTCTGTTCATTCATCCATTCATTTATTCATTTAATAAATGGTTTATGACCTCACATTAAGCTAGAGTTTGGGAGTACACCAGTGATTAAAAGCAGGCATGAATTCTACCATGACTCTTTCCAGCTTTCACTCTGGATTTTATTCAGCTTTCTGAAATACTCAGACAATAAATATTTTCTTTCCTCACTAATTCAGGCTTCAAATTGAGGAAACGGCGTATTACCAATGAGCCCACAGGAGGCTCTGGGGGGACTGGAAACTGCCCTCACTTACTGGAAGCCATACCCTGTGAAGAGCCATCCTGCTATGACTGGAAAGCGGTGAGGCTCGGAGACTGTGAACCAGATAATGGAATGGAGTGTGGTCCAGGCACTCAAGTACAAGAGGTTGTGTGCATCAACAGTGATGGTGAGACAGATGTATCCATTGCATTTTTATGAATGTCTGTTTAACCCTGGAGATAAGCTTTTAACTCACATTAAATTCTGGTGTTTTCTCTTGTCATAAATGGTTCCATTTGCAAACAGAAATAGCTGCTTCCTTCTCTCTCTTTCTCTCACTCTTAGGGTGGCATTAGAAAGATTCCATTCCATGCACAGTCACAGGGTATATTTTAATTTGATAACAGAACAGTTAATGTAGTATAAGAATTAAATCATTGTAAAGCAAAGAATGTATTAAATTGCCAAATTTAAAAATGATGGAAAAGTAACATTTTTAAGAGACATTTTTGTTTTTTTATTATTTTATTTTATTTCAGGCTCCTTTATTCCATGAATATTTATAGAACATCAACTATAGGCAAAACAAAATCATTGAAGATAACATTGGGACAAATATATCAATTTTATGAGGAAACAAAAGCATTATTTACAAATCAATTATGAGATAAGTGTACTCATTACCACCACTCCTAGTAAAGTTGAAGATCCTAGCTAATACAATTATGATAACTTAAAAATCCCAATGGTTTATAAAAAAAATACAAATTTCATTACTTCTGAGTTACCAAGTTACTTGCAAGTTACCAAAAACAATAGAAAAATTCAGCAATGTAGCTAACTTCAAAAAAACTATACAAAATCAATTATATTCCTATGTAAAAAAGAATTACAAAATAATATTAGAAAGAGAAAGATAGCATTGTATCAGCAACCAAAATAGAAAGTACCTATCAATATAGCTTTAACAAGAGCTGTGCAATTTTTTTGAATACATAATCATTTACTACTTGTTTGTTACAGAATACACAAGATAAAATACAAATAGCAAACAATTTTTTCCTTATTATGTTTTTACCAAAGTCTAAATAAAAAGATAAATAATATATATAAATAAAAGTAAAAACTAATTTCTAAAAAAAAAAAGCAGATCACACCAAGTCTTATAGACAGTAGAAATAGAAATACTTTAAAATCATTCTACTTAGTCTGGATACCCCTGATAGTAAAATTAGAAAAAATATATTATTATAAAGGGGAAATTACAGACGTATTTCACTGATGAATAAGGATGCAATATGATAAACAACATATTGACATGTTGAATTAAAAATTGATGTTTAAGTAATATACATTGATCAAAATTAAATCCAGTTGGATTTTTAATTTTAATTTGTCATTTTTATGACATTTTTAATTTGTCATAAAAAACAAAATTTAAATAAGGAAAGGTTCTAAGGGTTGCTAGACTTGACTGGTTAACTCTAGAAGTCGTTTCCTCGATATTGGATCTTAGTGATATTAATTTCCAGGCTCACAGCAATGTGGCTTATCACAGCCTCAAGTTCTGCAATCCACGTCTCCTGCTCTCTCCCGGCCCCCTCTCTAGGAATGTCATGGAGCCATTGGATGATGGCTTTCCACAAGATTCCTTTCCCCAACCATAGGAGTTACCTAGGACTTTTAACAACTAATTTTTGTCTGAAAAAAATGCATCGCCTTGATGTTAGCTTTGATATGAGACTTTCACATTCTTCCCAAGAGTGCTGCTGTTTTATGTGGGAGGACCTCTTGCCCCTTTAAACCCCTGAGTCACACTTAGGAACCGCAAAACTCCCCCAGACACAGTGTAGAACCTCTAGACAAGATCATCTCTAAGGTTGCTTCTAACTCTGGAATCCTATGACTCTGCATTCAGGAAGGAGTGAGCGCTAACCCCCAGGGTCCCATGGTTTGACAGTTTGTGCTGTTTACAGCATATGCAGACACATTCTGGTGCCCCCTCGAGTGCAGCAACATCTGGTATCCGTCATAATTCCTTCCATCCTATTTTCTTCCAGCAAGCAGAATCGTTTCCTCCTGTGACTCAGTCACTGTTCAGTCGTAAAGAAAGACACTCTCTGGGGTGGAAAACTGACAGACATCACTATTACTGAGAACTTAGCCTTTGTCTTTGTCCAGGATCTGGGATGCCCATGCAGGACGGTATTAGTTATTAGGTGAGATCTGAAGAAGTGCTTGAGGTTGAAATGTGAAGAAGGGGATTTTTGCTCCCGATCTTTTATGATGCCCTTTATGCATTCTGCTTTCTTCCATGATGGTATAATCAGTTATGATGTATCCTCTTTTTAGTGTTTCTCTGTTCTACAGTAAAAGGAAAGAAAAGAAGTAGAAAGTAACACTCAGAAATTGGCATCTAGGAAAACAAAAGGCGCAAATTGTCTTTATCTTCTACTGACTCTTCAAATCCTAATTTAGATTAGACAGTACTCTACACTTTAATCTTCTGAACTGCTGTAAAAAAAGAGTAAGGGTCCTATGTAATTCCCTTAGTTATAGCAGTTTTTTTCCCCCTCAATTCAAAATAATGTTTTTGTTCTTCAGTTGACCTACAGAGGAGTTAGGGCCCCAGGTATTATTAATATTTAAAGTGAAAAGTTAATTGTACATGGAACTTTTGTCTCATTGTTGTTCAATGAAAAATCAGATCTAGTTTACTTAGTAGACTTTCTAGATATTTATATAAATTGGTTATATTATATGAAACATTTAAAAAATAGCAGCTTGTTTTAATTTTGTCAAGCAAAAATAATTTTGTAACACAAATAATTGCCTTCTCAGTTGTCTTGTGAAACACTAAAAAACAAACAGAAGTTTGGGTTAATTATACCTCGTTTACTGGCAAGTAATGTATGTTGAAACCTAAAAAGCAAAGTGATAACTCAGAGTATACATAAGCTGGTTTCACATTGTCCACCTCACAAACAGAATGAATTAGAAGCAGGTAAGTGTGCAACTGATACTCAGTCTGTTATTATTGTCCTTTCCTGGGACATCTCTCCCTCCGGTACGTTTTCTCTTCCGACATTAACAAGTTGTAGTGTAACTTAGTATTTTAACTGGCTAAATCACAGGGGTATATAAAATCAAGACAATTGTTTTAATACATTTTAGAGCCTGCTGAAATTTGTATATAACTGAGAAGTCATTGCGCTGATATTTAATAGAATAAGAACGAAAACTGGAGACTTACAAATACTACTCCAAAATTATCATATGGTCAGCTGGTAAGTGTTTAGCAGCTGCACCAAATGTTGTTTTGTAATTAAATTGGGCCTAGGGAATTAAAGCTGATTAGTTGTACAGACTCTACCTCTAGGTGTGGGCTGCAGCTATAGATTTTGTTTTATAATTAAGTTAAAGCCCGACTAGGGACAGGAAGAATTAGAGCCTGTTCACCTCACAAACAGTAAAAAGGCCTTTTTTCTCCCACAGTCCTCACAAATTTCACAACTTTTTAATGACCTCAAAGCATTTAAAATTGCTGTTTTTTTCCTGAAATATCTTTTGTCCAGATTTCCAGAGATCATTAGGATTTCCTGCTGCCATTCATCTTTGCAGGTGTCTTCAAGGAGCAGGCTTGGGAAAGGTTGTTAGAGCCCCCAGGAGGAGTTTTATGTAGATTCTCTGACAGAAAGGGGAGTGGAACGGAATTGCTAGACAAAGGAGGGCTCAAAAGGCAATTAGACTCTCCAATACGAGATGAACATTTTATGTGTAATAGAAAAAATATGGCATAAAATTTAAAGCTCATCAGAAAAACACTTCCAGATCTCTCTGAACACAAGTGCGGAACTCCTGCAAAGATCTCGGGGCTGGAGGAGATCCTAGAGGATGTTATACCTATATGAACACCACAAATCTCTATTTTAAATTTTTGTGATGTTTGAGTTTTTTATTTAAGGGTACATATTTGGAGAAGCAAGACTATTTTGTTTCCTAAATTGGTTGGTGAGGGGCTAAATGAAGCAAGGTTATTTAGTCTAGAGATGGGAAGATGAAACTATATTATCTTATTTATTATTTGAGATTCTAAACTGAATACTATTTCCACATTTCCTTCTTCTTTGCCATCATATTTCCTTATCCTGTGCTCTAGTTCACATATCAAAGAGTTATCACTTTTCATGTGAATTTTAAAATCTCAGTTTCATTATTTCATTTTTGTGTTATTTTGCAAAGCAGTGAACCTCAGTAGATTAAAATGCCTGCACTTCTGTGCTGCTCTCCTTATTTTTCCATGTCAGTAAAAGTTAATGTATAACCAATGACATTGATATGCACAACTCACTTTCTACTTGACCTAGATTTTTATGAAACCCAAAAATATTTCTATGAAAGTAAGTCCCTATGACAATTCATCATTATACAGTATTAATGTACAGTAGGGAGAGGAATGAGGGTCACCAGCTGGGGCCATCAGCTTCTCTTGTGCTGTTCTTGAATGGGCAAAACTTTTGCTACCCCAAGACTCTCAGCACTATAGCAAACAGGCTGGATTCCAGTAGCACAAAAGACCTGTTTAAGAACTTGTTGAGATGAGCATTGGGGCAAACCTTGAAAGCCTGTTTTTCTGCCATTTTTGATTACTATTTCTGCATATCATCAGAATACCAAAAGAGCTGACTGTGACATGCTTGGAGGAAGATATCTTTAACATGCATGGCACTGGCTTCTCGTGTGACTGCTTAATCATTCTGAAATTTTTACCACCAATTTCTTCTTTCTGGAATTGATGGCATGGTTAGGAATGGATATGTTTCCATGTATGAGTAGAGGAAAGAAAAGACTTGCATAGTATTTCTTTCCTTAGAAGTTTATGTTGCATTTCTTTGTTTCCATGTTGTAAGTATTAAGAGGAATATAAGGTACATCATTTCAATGTCTTAAGGTGCATATAAGAATGAATACCTAAAATACATTGAAAGTTTTTACCACTGGAGAACAGAGAAATGGGGTAAAATAGTCTATTGTGAGCCTTGTAGTATAATTTGCATGCAATTTAGAAACTGTTTAAATACTGAATTTGTCCAAATATATATTTATTAAAGAGTAACAGTTGGGGCTGAGCACCCGTAGCTAAGTAGTTAGGGCGCCGGCCACATATACCCGGGCTGGTGGGCTCAA